AAAGAGTATGCTTCTTCGTCTTAATCTTTTAAACGGATAAATTAGAGCAAGGCAAAACCTGTGATTAGACTGCATTAAGATGAACCAGGACTGCAATTTTCTAGATGGATATGGAAGTGTGTAGGCTGCCTTGTTTGTGACAGTAAGCCCCTCCTAAAATGGGAGGCTACCGGCTTCTCTACAATTGCAACCTCTTCTCCACACTTTAGTGAAATCGCCACAATTAAGCGCAGTCGTGAATGTTTATCATAAGGGCATTTGAATTAGTGCCCGAACCACTTTGCAATTAAACAGGAAGTTTTGGACGTCTATTACTACTTGCCACCAAAGTTTACACAAATTTTGGGTAAACAAACTGCTTCCATGCAATTTAAATGCTGCGCCCACAATCGCAAAGTATTGATGACTTAAAATGTCACTTTGGGGTCCTATGATCTGCACATAAATAAATCTTGTTATCTTTGGACTTAAATGATTTACCAATTCATGAAATGGATCTCTCAATGCACAGTGCTACGGTTTTGCAATTTCTCCGGTCAAGTTACGCAATCTCGTTTCATTGTTAAGCAGCGTTCCTGACGCTTTGATCGCAAGAACCTGCTGACAATTTACTAGGATTTTGCGCTTTAACTGGGCTATGGTAAATAATTTTAGTAATTTTGGATGCATTTAAAAACAACTCACTAATGTAGCGGTTCTGCAGTTAACGGAGAATCAATAGCATGGTCTCGTTTCATGGGTGTTAAGGAAACAACGTCACCAGCAGTCCCGTGTACATTTCCAAGGACGGATGTTCCAAACCGCACAGCGATGAATTATATATCTGAAAGAAAACGCATTAAATTATTGAATGTCAAGACAAGTATCCCCAATCAACCCCACTGGAAACCTACAGTAGAGGTATGATAAGATGAAGTAATTTGGCTCAGACCAATTCTGACAGAGGAAAAAGGCGAACATTGACCAAATTTTAACTACCGAACGCATGGATTTGATCGGACAAACTTGACTACTCCTTGGCACCAGTCTCACTTATTTATCTAGACAGGAAAATCAACCCATTCGGTCACAATCTCTCCATTTGAGTAGGCAAATTTAGACAAAGTGTTGATCATTTGTTGTGTTGCTTTCCTCTATCAATTTGGTATGATTAGAGTTCAACAAGATATTCGACATCAAATTAGCTCTGAATCCGTATAAGTAGATATAACATTGATGACATGAACCTGCGGAGAGAAGGAAAGCTATTGAGGCTGAGCTTCATCCAAACAACGGATAGCATGATATCCTGAGAAGCAGACGCATTATAAGGTATGCCGCCCTGCGGATAGACTGAATTAAAAACAAGTAGACGGGGCATTATATCAGTTGATATCCAAATAGCCTGACGTAATGAAACGTCTAATTATGCTGGAGACTTTCAATCCGTAGGGCAACATGCCCAATAATATACCACCCTCTCAACTTGAAGTGATTTCAGTATATCTGCAGGCCTATGTCATCAATGTTATACCTGCCTCCACGGATTCAGGTCTAAATAGTTGTTCAATATCTTGCTTAAGCCTAAGCATATCGATTTGACGGAGGTCAAGTGACGTAGCACATGACCCACTTATTTCGATTTCATGTACTCCTATGTACACTGATGTAGTGGCAAGTCTACTTATTTGGAATTCAGCCTCTCCCTATGGTAGCGGTATATCAGATGGTTGAATGAAGCGCTACCTAAGTAGAAATCACACTATCCACATATCCATGTCTTCGATATTGTGCATAATAATAATGTAATATTAACAAGATTGATGGCCAAATTCCTGTTTATGTCTAAGCATATAGATTTGGGGGAGGTCAAGTGACGCAACTCGTAGGACATATGTATCGAGTCGACTGATATAATGCTACGTCTACCCATATGGAATCCAGCCTACCTGTAGGGCAACCTACCCAATAACAATGTCTGCTTCTAAGAATTTCTTGCCATTTGGTATTTGATTGAAGGTTTACTTAAGTAGAATTTAGCCTATTCGCATGTCCAGTTCATCAATTTGACAACTTCTCGTGTAAGGAGATGGTCAAGTGAAGCAACTTAGCGGACATTTATATTGACTTTAAGCTGTTTGGATGTGAAATGATGTAGTAACAGGTCTACTTATATGGAATTCAGCCTATCCGTAGGGCAGCATAGATAATCACAGACCATGGGAACCCAACATCGAATGACGCAGCAGGCGACATATTGAAGAAATCTGAAACACAGCAACAAGTAAGTGAAGGTCCCAAAACTGAACAGCAAAACAATGTCCAGCTAAATAATTGTGGAGACAAAGATTCAAATATTGCAAGGTAGGACTCAACGCTTTCCGTTAAATGTGCCTAAAACCATCCATTTGCACATGTTCGATGAGACACCAGTGGAAATGAGGTCAAATAAAAATGAATTAGCAAAAAGGACCTTAGTTCTAGTGAATCCCAACCAAAGTCATCGAAAAGCGACACTCAAGACAGCTGCGGTGGGGACTGCTGAGTGGCGGTAGTGTAGTGAAAGGGTAGCAATTGAAGG